CGCTACGTATATTCATCTCATAAAAGGCACGCATGACACGCAGTGTGTGACGACAGATTTGATTTCAAACGTTTTAGAAGACGTTGCTGATCGATTGGTTTGCCTTACTCATCCCAAAGACGTAACGTGTTTTTACCACCAACGACCAGTTCCCAAAAATAAATGAAAATTGTTTCGTCATTAACAGTAATATTGTCATTAGTGTCTGGTGGAAATTCCGGCTTATTGTCAATTATTCCTAATTCTATTAAATATTCTTTATTTTGTGCTGTTTATATGAGCAACATGTTTGCTATTTTTTTTCTAGAATTTTTAGCACAATTTTTTTAGCCCCAATTTTCAGTTATATTCAAGTTGCTTGGTCATATCGACACAATGTTTTTGGACTCTGGGGAGTTACCCAAACAACCTGGAAAAAACCTATTAACACATAGGACGAACAGGGCTTGACCCTGTGATACCCTTGCCGACAAAAAAGGCAACAGAACAATCCACCATTCCACCTTGTGGCCCCTGTGCTTACTGAGTATACCTAGCCTCGCCAAAAATGGTCTGCTCAGCAAAACTGGATTTTCTCATTGTCTGCAATCTCAAACTTTTTCTTGGGTCTCTTACTAAAATGTTTTGGTAGATTTTTTTTTAAATTCTTACCTCTGCCATTTTGATTCTGCACAATGTTTACTCTCTTGAACTATTACACTCTTTATTCCATAATAACTATGTTTTGCAAGGTTCTGTTAGCATCAATTTACAACTTTGTTTATAATAGAAATATTCAGTTTTTTAAAATTATTTTTAATTCGTTTAATTAATTAATACTTCCATCCCAGTTTAGATGTACCTATTCCTTGCATTTGCCAATATCTTTGTTTTTAAGTAAAGCAAGTAAACCAATGCTGAATTGTGTATTCAATGTTGGTTTACTTGCTTAACTTAAGAACATAATTCTTTGGTAGGAATTTTAATTCGTGGCATTGCTTCCTTTATGTTGTTTGTCTTAGATGTTTTTTACATGTTAGCTATCGCATATTTCATTTATTAGGTATTGAACACAGCTTAAAACAGATAGGTAGATAGATAGCTAACTAGTTAGCTAGCTAACTAGATAGGTAGATAGATAGACAGATAAATACATAGCTAGCTAACTAGATAGATAGCCAGAGAGCTAACTAGATAGATAGCTAGCTAGCTAGATAAATAGCTAGCTAACTAGATAGATAGATAGAGATAGATAGATAGATAGATAAGGGTGCTTTTATACGACAACATAGGCATAACAAGGAGCAGATGTGGAAAAGATAATTGAACATCCAACTGGGAAAAACCCATTTAACCACAGCTATGGAAAAACAAAACAAGAGAAAATGTAATAATGGAAACAGAAATCCTTGTTTAGATTAAAAACAAAACAAACGGACTGGGAGAAAGTGAAGCTGAAATATTTTGATACTGGGAGAAAGTGAAGCTGAAATATTTGATAATAGATAATAATAGTGTTTTCTTCATTGTATACAGTTTTTGCATAGGAGAGGAGGGGATTGTTTGTAAAAAAAAAAAAAAAGGTAAAAATAAAAATACTCTTTTAATGCCGACTGGCTAAAATAAACGTTAAGGCTGAACCTCCAGTTTGCGCATACAAAGCACTGACATGTGGCGACGTCTGTAAATGCTTAAGTATGCGTCGAACGATGACGTTTGCTGTCACAGCTGTTTGGGTCTTTGTCATAGAACGTGTTTCGAGAAAACGTCTATAATCCCGCCGGACCAACAAAAACATATTATGTGATCCTTGAGCAACTCCCCTACGTCATATCTTTATTAGAAAATGAACGCGAGTAGTTTTTTTTAATGACTCGCCATCCTAGCTACATGCTAACAATACTTTTTTTTTTTTCTTTTGGCCCCAGTGGAGGTAACATGGCTCTCCATTCCAGACACAGACAAAAACACATGCACCAACCTATCACTCACAGTCCACAGCTTTCACCAACGAAGCCCAGACAACCAATCAGAGGTATGTCTGGATGTGCTGGTGGAAACAAACAGCCTATCAGCGGCGTGTCTGTGCGCTCACTTGACCAATGAGCTGCGTGTCTGGCTGCACCGAAGAGACTGAACGTCTGCCGAGGCCCAATCAGCGGTTTAGTGCTGCCTGCCGGTGCCGGGGACTGGTGGTGAGGAGCCGCAGCAGCGCTGTCAGGACCGGACCGTGAACCCGGAGACGGTACACACTGAGACGAAAGGAGAACACAGGTGAGTCCGAGGATGTGTACGGGGGCCTGGCTGCGGCCCCGCTGCGTGTTTTTGAAATGGCAGGGGCGGGACAGCGGACTGTGTCGCTGTGCTGCCGGTGGATATGCTGATGTGCTTGATAGACAATAGAGCGGCGTCTCTCTTCGCTGTTTATTGATAACAGGCTGACATTTTGGCGACCAGCTTACGTCGCCTCGAGTCTGCTTTTTTTTTTTGTGTTATTTAAATGACGCGAACCGCAACGGCAACACGAGTGTCTCTAAATGCCTAAGTGTACCGGGTTCTTGCTTTGTGTTCAGTTAAAAAAAAAAGCGAAGTGTAAACGGGGACGGTGGGATTACTGAGGTGATGGGAACGCTGAACGGAATGCCTCCAGTCGCTTTTGTTTGATCCGAAGTCTCTGGGGGGTTAAGTCAGGCAGGAGAAAGACACAAACGCCACCGAAAAATACTTGTTATTCCTCGTTTAACGAGCAGCTGGATGGGATGGGATGTTCTCACGGCGGTAATGGACTTGCAGCCGCGGGAAGTAGCGGTTTGCGCGGCGCTAGGAGGAGGCCGGGCCGACTGATGGCTCTGAGCAATTAGGAAGAAAAAAAAAAAAAACTAGAAATGCATCAGCCATTTACGCAGAGACTCAACTGGCTCCATATGCACCTAAATGGCTGCCCGCCGCCTAAAAGTATTTACCCACCACGTTACCGGGGGGGGTTGGAACTACTGTACACGATACTTTGTTTAGGCTTCGCGATGGACTAAAAAGAGGCGAAAGAGCTTTTGGATTACGTTAAGGAGAGACTAAACAAGGCATCAATATTTAATGTGTGCTGCCTGTTATTCTGCATTGTGGACGAGCACATTCAATGTCTGCCGCTGTTGCGCTGCTCCTTCAGATTTACATGAGTCACAGGCACAGGGATTCACATCTGAATGCTACATCACTGTCTCGCTGTCATTTCTCTTTACAGTCCACGACTGCATTCCTCCAGTCTTTTCAGGTGGAGACGACTTAATTAATGGTCAAGATTATGCAACCGCGCTCCATTTACAAGGCCTCACGCGAGATCTGTGTCAGCAACTAGCAGCTGACAACAGGGACGTTATTTAATCACAACATGTATATATATATATATTTTTTTTTTTGTTTTCTTTTTCCATAACTTAGCTAGTAGATGGGGCAACAGTGTGGTCACTTTAAAGTTGCTGTTTGCTTTTCTTCACATGATGGATGATACAGTAACCTATGGGTTGGAAATAAAAAAAGTTTTGACCCCTTTACAGCCCTCCACTCACATGGTTACAGTGGGTTCTGTATGAATGGGCGGCCCTTGGAGTTGAGATGTGAATGAACTGTAGTATTTTGGATTTAGAAGCTCTTCCTTTTCCTATTTTCAACTCCCCTGGCGTTATCAAACGGCATACAAAATACTATCCACGTTGGTTTTGTGACAGTCTTTAGCGTACAGCGCAACACTATTCTTATTTATTTAGGGGATATAGACGACCATTCTACTGTTCGGGCTTCACGCCAATGCTGATTGGTTGGCACAGGTTTAAATATATATAAAAAAAAATAAAAAAAAACCCCGTATCTGGTCAGTGGATTTCATTTTGTTTATCCTCCCTTTGGTTTCCACCACATGGAGCTGTAAAAAAAAAAGCGCAGCGTGCTGTTCTCTTAACGCCGAATTTCAGCACCAATTCCCTTGTCTTGGTCTTTTATTCCCACCTTAACAATAAAAGCATTAGCTCCACTGTAGCATACCGTTTAGACAAGGCAGTAACGATTCCCCCGTGGAACGTGGAGCGGTTGCACCACTCTTTCGCTCTCACTTTTAGCCTTATCTGATTTGCTCTTTCAAATACTGAAATTTTGCACCAGTTAATACTCGGAGGTATTTTGTTAGCTCCATTAAAATCGTGGAGTCCGGCCCATGCCCTAGTAATTCACGAGAACAAACCCAAATGAAGAGAGCAGGATAAAATTGTGTTTTTTGTTTTGTTTTTTTTAGCTATAACAAAGTTAATACTATACTCATGCTCTTGCTTTCTGGGTACTGTAGTTACCAGGCCCCCTTTGCCACTATGTAGTATAAAAGTACAGCATTCATAGTACCTGTTTAAAAACCCCTTTCTTGAAACTCTTAACCTGCATAACTTCATCTCAAATAATTATGATAGCACAGCATTCACTCTCAGTAGTCCTCAAAAGTGGAAG